TAGAGCTTTAGTTGCTTGCTTTTGATGTCATTTTGATATATTTTTGTAACCTTAGTTGCCTATCAAATTGCCTATCAAATTGCTTTTGATGCCCTTTCTTTCTCTTTGTTTTGTTGTGTTCTATTATTGTAACCTTAGTTGCCCATCAAATTGCTTGGAGTTGATTTTGTTAGGGTTCTTTTAATTACCTAAATTGGTTTCTTTTGTTTTATGAAGTAAATTTTACATTGACATTCTATGTGAAGAAACTGATTTTCACTCCCTTCTTTCCTTTGGTTGTATAAATTGCATAACTGCATGTGTGTTATGAGATGGGAATTGATTGGAGTTTTCCATCATTCTCTAGGTTGTAGGAATGCCAATGGATTTGGGGCTGATTAATTACTAAAAGGATCTTAAATTTTAGTTGAAACATGATAAATATCTTGCTAATGGAGTATATGTGTATAATCACAGATACTTTTTTTTACTGAACTAGGGTAATTAGGGAATGTTGGAAAGGAGAAAAGGGACCAAGGGCATTGAGCCCTGGTCTTGTGGATGGAGGGTGGATGTGGAAACCTCAAAAATTACCCTTGGACTCGGGTTCAGAGATATTAAGTCTGCCTTGGTATTGCTTCAAGTTGTAGATTTTTCTGGTTCATATTACCTGTTTACTAGATGGGTGTGTGTAATTGTATATCTGAAGTTATTAGAATAAAAATAGTAGCTTATTACACATTGGGAATTTTATGTTTGAATCTGAAAGTTACTGGAACACAAGTGAACTTGATAAATATATTGGACTACTAAAGATATTGTGTATTGCTCTGCCTCACTGCCATCATAGATGCTGAATTTGTCATAGGAAAGTTTGAAATTTTCTTCTTTTCATGGTGCAGACAACAGTGAAAGTAGCTTGCAAGAGCATTTCAGAAATTCAAGTAGTGGATTGTGAAGCAGTGGCTAATTGAGAAGGGCATGTTTATAGCAGTGGCTAATTGAGAAGGATATGTTTATTTCTGAGTTTGCATACTAGATAGATATAGATGGGGGGAAGTAATGAAATAGTCCGTTCATACTTCGTTAGTCTTTCTTTCTCAAAATTTTGTGCTTTCTATTAATATGAGGAATGAAGTTATAGGTTTTGAAATATGTTACAATGTGGACATTGTATCTTAGAAATTTTGGATAACGCATGTGTGAGCTACTTATATCTTAAAAATTTTAGAAATTTTCTACTTTTCTTTTGTTTATAGAGAAGCTCAACTTTCCTCTTTGAATGTTTGATGTTGTTCACGGGGCTCAAGGTTTTGTTGCTTTTCCTCTTTCTCGGCCTAAAATTGTATTGTAAGCATGATTGCTGGTATTTAAGGGTTTAATTCTTTAAATATGGAGTATTTTAAAATTATTGTATAGGTGCATAACTGGCGCTGCTTTTGAGCTATCTTCTTGATGGTGTCTTACTGAAGTATTTCCTGTAAAAGGTTATGGAAAAGCTACGTATTAAGTGTAGGAATAAATAAATGATTTGTTTAAGCAAAAAAGGTGGGTTTGGTATTTGCTTGTGCGTGTCAGCTTTGTAGTTGAGAACATGTGGAGTGGGTTGTACATGTTTTTCTTCATGAATGCATGATAAGTTATCTTTTTTATTAACTGTTGTAAATTATCGAAGAAGGAAGGAGGATTGGGTTTACAAGTTACTTACCTCTTCAATTTGAATATCTTTACCTCTTCAGTTTGAATATCTTTTGCTATGGTTTTAAATGTTGCATTGTTCTCCTCAGCACTTAGAAATCTATTCTTTAGTTGA